TTCCAGGCAAGAGTACTGGAGTGGGGTGCCATTGCCTTCTCCAAGAGACAGTCTAAAAATACTAAATCTTTGGATCCACAAATAAAGAAAATCTTTCAATTTATTTGTGTCTTGGTTCAATTTCTTTTATCAGTATCTCATAGTTTTGTGTGTCTTTCACTTCCTTGGTTAAATTTACTCCTAGGCATTTATTATTTTGATGCTATTATAATGTTGTTTTAATTTCTTTTTTTATATAAAGCAAAGTTTTTGGATGTTGATCTTATATTAACGTATGTTGATTTGGTATACTGAAACTTAGCTATTTTGTCCATTGTTTCTAATAACTTCTGGTGGAGTCTTTAGGGATTTATATTCAAACAGAAACAATTTTCCTCTTCCTTTTGATCTTGGGTGATTTTTGTTTCTTTTTCTTGTCTAACTGATTTAGGTAAAACTTCTAGTGCTATATTGAATTGCAATCTTGGGAGTGACACCCTTGTCTTGTCCCTTATCTTAGAGAGAAAACTTTGAAACTGTCACTGTTGAGTATGATAGCTGTGACTTGTCACATTTTATTTTGGCATATTATTTCACACATATTATTTGACATATTATTTTGAGGAATGATCCATCTATTCCAAATTTCTTGAGAACATGTATCATAAAAGAAAGTTGAATACAAAGTTGAATTTGTATTTACTTTATCTTTAGTTCTATCAGTGTTGTGTGTGTATCATGCTTATTTCTTTGCACATAGGGAACCACCCTAATATTCTAGAAATAAATCTCACTTGATCACGATGTATATTTCCCTTTTATTGATAGTTTGTGCATCTATGTTAATTAGAAATATCAAGCTGTCATTTTCTTTTCTTGTAGGGTCTTTTCTGGTTTTGGTAGCAAGGTAAGAGTATCCTCGGAAAATGAGTTTGGGAGTGTCCCCACCTCTTAAATCATTTGGAGTTTGAGAAAAGTTGTTAATTCTTTAAATTTTGGTAGGATTTACAGTAAAATAATCAGATCTTTGCTTTTATCTGCTTTTTGTTGCTGCTGTTGTTGAGACGTTCATGGTTACAGATTCATTTGCCTTACTCTTTATTTGTTGGTTCAGACTTTCTATTTCTTCACAGTTTTGTCTTGGCAGGCAAAGCCCTTCAGCAATCAGCCTGTCAAGGATATTCTGACAGTATACACAGCTGGAGGTGTTCAAGGCAAGGAGTAGCGTGTACTGAGAGACAGAAGTCTCCACAGTTCAATGGGGAAATAATATTAGCAAGTACAAAATCATATAAAATGCCACATGGTGACAGGTGAAATGAACAAAAAGAAAGGTATAGAGAGGTAAGTGGCTTTGGTGGTATTCTTTACTGAGTGCTCAGACAGGTTAGCAAAAAAGGTAACCTTTGAAGAGACTTCAAGGAAAAGAGGTGAGGAGCTGAAGACAGTGCCTGCCTGGAAGGTGGAACGGCCAGTGCAAAGACCCCAAAGATGCCATTTGTTTCAGGTGTTCAGTCTTCAAAAGAAGCCAGTTTCCCAAAGGGAATAAGCAAGAGGGAAGGTGTTGGGAGATGGGGCCAGAGGATGTTAGGGAATGAAGTGAACTTCCTCTGCTCCTGAACTTCCAGGCATAAGGAGTCCCTAATCCACATGTTGTTCCTTGTGCTTCATTAATTTTGTTTCCAAGAATCCTGAACATAGAAATAGATCCCCCTTTTGTTTTCCTGTTCAGTTAACATTCTGTCATCTATATTTCCAGGGGAAAATTTTGATGTCTATGAGCTCAGGTCCTCCTGTTCTAAGGACACTCATGCCCCACAACACACACACACACACACATGTGCACCCGCACAACACAGCACTGTGGTTTCTTGTGGCCATGGGGGAGTCAAGAGTCTTTTCACCTCCAACCACACCATTTAGGAAGGGAATGATGCAAGGCAAGATTGTGAACATCAGATTATCTCTACCCTAATGTATGTACAAATAGTACCCAGATTCTAGTTGCTAAGCCTTCTATAGACATGTAACTGTGGTCTTCAATTTTAATATGATCATTTTGTGCCATGTATGTCTTTATAAATATGAAAATCAGTTCTAAGAAACATAGGTATAGTAAGCAAACAAATATGAACAGTAAAGATGATCTAATAAGCTTAGTCCCTGATAAATTATTATGAGGGGAAAGTTTCTTTGGTTCTGGCAGCATTTCAAACCCAGCTATATCCCCTTGAAGTCCAAAATACCTAACAAAGCAGCAAAATAATTCATCCAAAAGAGAGGGAGTGATGTCTTCATGGTGTCAAGACACCTTAGTGATTGACTATCCTCCTAGAAAAATGAGCAAAGGGAGTAATAATAAACACACAATTCTTTTTTTTTTCCATTTATTTTTATTAGTTGGAGGCTAATTACTTTACATCATTGCAGTGGTTTTTGTCATACATTGAAATGAATTAGCTGATAGCAGCCATCCTGACTGGCGTGTAATGGTACCTCATTGTGGTTTTGATTTGCATTTCTCTGATAATGAGTGATGTTGAGCATTTTTTCATGTAAACACACAATTCAGAAGAGGAAAATAATGAAGTGCAGGAAAAGGGTTGATTTTTTAAAGATGAAATGGTAAAAATCTTTTTATTGTGTTATTTTAACTTTTATTTCATATTGAGCATAGTTGATTAATGGGCTTCCCAGGCGACTCAGTGGTAAAGGACCCGCCTGCAATACGGATGATGTAGGTTTGATTCCTGAGTTGAGATCTCCTGGAGAAGGAAATGGCAACCCATTCTAGTATTCTTGCCTGGAGAATCCCATGGAAAAAGGAGCCTGGTGGGCTACAGTCCATGGGGTCGCAAAAGAGTCTGGCATGACTTATAGACTAAACAATAGCAACAACATAGTTGATTAACAATGTTGTGTTCATTTCAGGTGTATAGTAAAGTAATTCAGTTATACACATTCATGTATCTATTCTTTTTCGAGAGTTTTTCCTGTTTAGGTTGTGGGTTCCTCTAGTAGCTTTGCTGGTGAAGAATCCACCTGCAATGCAGAAGGTTTGATTCCTGGGTCAGGAGATTTGCTGGAGAAGGAATAGGCTTCCCACTCCAGTATTCTTGGGCTTCTCTGGTGGCT